TCCGGCCAAGAATTCGAGTCTCCTTTGAATCTCCTTCCCATTCATCAAAATCACTCCTGGGAAGCCCTCTATAACCTTACTAACGGTGCCATCAATAAAACCTAAACCCCTCAAAACATCCACACTATTAAAAAAACTATCTGGGTCTATCTGAAATCTCTTAGATTGTTCCAAAACACTCTTAATCATCAATGGGGAAGAACTCAAAAGCACAAAATTTGAGAAGCCCATTTCCCATTTCTTGAGGAACTGAAAGTCCAAAACCCCAGGACAGTCACATATCAACGAAACAAGGGAATTCTGGGGTATTTTGAAGGATAACAGTATAACCAGAGACTTCTCTAATTCCTGTATGTTGGAATTCAATAAAAAGTGATTCTTTGAAAGGAAATTGTGAAGCAGAGAAGATGGGAAGCCATACCTTTGGAGCAGAGTGGCGAGGGAAATCTGTTTCCTGTATTGAGATTGCTGGGAAAATCTGGGTTTTATTGGGTTTGTTGAAAAGGATTGGGAACTTTGGTTTGAGAAAGTTTGGTTTCTCTTGGCGGTAAATATCTCTGTGAAGCGGATAACTGTGGTTCTGGTTGAAATCCTTATGGCCATTTGACAATTCTGAGTTGAGCGCCAACTACACGTATAACCTTCCCACCACCTAAGTCCGTTAACGCAGATAAAAGCCTGAAAAGGGAAAAAATGAGGGGTGAAGTGACAACAAAACGAGAAAGATAGATGTTCATGTGTTGTAGTATTGGGGTAATACCGTAATTTACTACTCCCTTCCTGCCACATTTAAATTTTTTTTGTATACTGTTCTCAAAAAATTTGCATACTCACATTTCATTTCCATTGATCTCAGGTGCTGAGGTGACTGTCGATACCCTGTTCTCTAAGAAAAAGAAAGGAACTTCCCGAAAACCCACCAAAAGGCAAAACTATTATACCCACCAAAGAGCGCTTTCATCAAAACTTAAAAAATGCAGAGGCTCCTTCGTTTGAAACTAGCCTCAAACCTCCCCAAAAGCCTCTCAAATTCCACCACCACCACCACTACCTCTTCAATCTTCCACTTTCAACCCCACAAAACGCTTTCTCTCACCAAGCCACCCCAAATCCAAAACTACTTTTTTAGCTCCTTTACCGCACACCCCCTTCACCATCATCTTCATTCATGGAGATTGCAGCACACTCTCACACAAAAAATTAATGGGTTTCTCTTCAACCCATTACTCAAACGGCAATTTTGTATGGGTTTCTCAAATACCCTTTTGAGAGTCTCAAGCAAGAGTCTTTCAGATTTCAGACTTGGCTTTCTCAGAGCCCAATTTCCCAAACAGAGTTTTCGGTTCAACCCAAATTTTACTTCTCCTAGGAGTCCCTGGTAATGTTTTTGTTTTCTGTTGATTGTCGAAGTTATCTGTTTGATTAAGAAATGATGGAAAGCTAGTAAATTCAATAACGAATTCCTAGTTTTCTTCCGTAAACTCATTTTTGCTATGATTTCTCGACAGCCTTAATGTTTAATCCGTTGTCTTTTTCCTTTCATATTGTGGAATTCCTGGTTAGAATGTGAGAAATTGTTTCTGGTTTAGTTAGGGTTCTTTCGGTTAATTTGAAGTGTCCTTTTGGCTTATAATTTCGTACTTTCACGGTTGATTTGACCAATGAGAAAAAAGTAAAAGTAAATTAATGTGGCTGGAACAGAAAAGGACGACACGTATCCAATTGTGATGGGTTGACCGTACAAATAGTTGTATTTACGTGCTTCAAGCCACTGCTTGTTTTTATTCTTCACAGAAGCTCCTGCAATTGCAAATGCTCTTGCCACATTTTGAGAGTTGATTGATGATAACTGCAAACTACTTCTGCCCACATAATACAATAATGCAGTTTGCTATTACATAAAATGTGAATAATGACTTTTGTTAATTGTTATTTAGGAAATCAAGAACAAATCTGGTTGTGCAAAGTATTAGTTGTCATACAACATGAATAGGTGGAATAGTTTGGGGCCTATAATGCCTTTGTATGTGAAAAATTGCCTTTATATTATTTAGGTTATAGAAAATACAATAAAGGTTTCTGTTTTGTGAGTTTAAAGAAATATATTATTTTGCTTGTGGCCAGGTAGTCATTTTCTCCCGTCTGAATTAAGTATTAATTTGGATTTCAGTTTCTGATTCACAATGTTTCTTCTAGTTATGCTATAAGATAAGTACAGTATGAAAATATGTCATCTTAGTATTGAAGGGAAATATATGGACAAGATAGAATATCAACCAACACTGGTCTTCACAGTACAGCAGGCAGGAGTTCTTAGATTTTCCACCGCTAACTTCCATCTTGATATCTCATCTTTTTGAAAAAAAGTAATAATAATTTCTTTAGGTATTAGAGCAAGATGCTTCGAATCTCATGATGGCTTATCTATGATAGTTTCTATTGAGAAGATTATCTGGACGTATGAAAGCATATTAGTTATCATAGAGTTCTACACTACTGTACTACAGCACTACTGCAGAGTGTAGACTCTGCTCATTCGTATCAAATTTTGCCTATGTGCAGTTTCTTTGGTAGTGTTAATCTTCTTCTCTCAAAGTAATTTTATTTATTTATTTAAAATTCCATTAGCATTTCATAGGGTTCAGTTAGTTCCTTCTCTTGGTTAAGAAATCGGAAAACCCAGGATCCACTTTGTATCCCCAAGTTTCCTGTCCCTATGTATGTAAGTTATCTTCTGCCAGTAACTTGATTTTCTCTTATTCACAGGAGATCATGGTTGCGAAGGGTATCTGATGGTGATGTTGTTTTGGGATTGATTATAGCTAATGTTGCTGTTTTTATTTTATGGAGGATTGCAGATCCTAGCTTCATGGCGAAGAATTTTACCGTGAGTCCCTCATTTTGAAATTAACTAAATATTCTCAACTTGTCATATGACTTTATTTCTTGACACCTCTTCGTGGGATCTCTCTTGTTGAGAAATAAAAGATTTTATATTCGAATGTGAATCCATTGGCTTCTTAAGTAGCTCTTTGCAGCTGCTTATTAGTCTAGTGTGATAGCATTCCATTTTTCACCTGAATTTGATTTTCTGTAACCAGATTTCATTAGACAATGTTACAAGTGGACGTCTGCACACATTGATAACTTCTGCATTCAGTCATATGGATGTTGGCCATATCATTTCTAACATGATTGGACTATATTTTTTTGGGACGAATGTAAGTTGATTTCCTCAGAAGATTTTTTTTAATTTATTAATTTTCTTTTGTTTGGGGGGGAGGGGTTGGAAACAATGCATCATAACGTTGATCACGTCCATGATGTATATGAAGTGGTATATTCAATGAGTTTCAATAATCTTTCTTATTTTTTTGGTGCACTGACCAGATTGGAAGAGTTTTTGGGCCTGAATTTTTGCTAAAGTTGTATCTAGCTGGGGCTGTTGGTGGCTCGGTCTGTTTCTTGGTGCACAAAGCCTACATGGCTGCGTCATCGAAGGTAAAATGATACTCAGCTTATGTGATAAAACCATTTTCAAGGATAAAGTTATATAATTCATTGCTTTTCTCAAGACGATAATCGACGGATCAACTTTTTCACAAGAAAATGCAAGTAATTAGAGAATGGAAACTCCTGGATGGTTATGTGAATATACAGTCTTGAGTATTTCATCAGTCTGCTGTTTGCAGGGCCGGCAACCGTGGAACATGGACCCGTCAAAAATACCGGGACTGGTATGCTTTCGAAAACTCTTTACATGCTGTGCTCCTTACTTTTACGGATTGTTTGACTAAGAGTTGAGAATTTTACTCAGATGGGTTGTTATCTAGATGAAATTTGTTGACCTTTAATTCTTTTCAGTGTTGTGTGTTTTTGTGACATGTAGGGTGCAAGCGGGGCTGTTAATGCTATCATGTTGCTTGATATATTCCTCTTCCCAAAATCTACCCTCTACTTGGAGTTTATCATACCAGTTCCCGCCATCCTGCTGGTAAGTTTGCTTCTATGTTAGGTGATTGGTTGAGGCTATTAAGAAAATCCTTGAAAACTAACCTCTTCTTTTTTCCATTTTAGGGTATCTTTCTAATTGGGAAAGATGTCTTGAGGATAATAGAGGTACGTTGATTATCTTCCGGTTTTCAAATTTCATTTTGTGTCTGTGTTCATGGTGCATGTCTGGTGTTTACATTGGGCTTGAAACAGGAGTAGGAGTTGAGTCATGGTTATCATCACTCAATGGTTTTCAGCCAGTCAATGATTTCACAGTTCGACCTTGTTTATTGTGCTTGTTTTTATTTTCTGCAAGCATATTCCTTCGAGTGATGTAACGGAGCCAAGTTGGAACCCTGTGCAAACTGTCATTCATCTAACTGAATGATTTGGAACTCCAGAATTGTCTTTCTGATGCCATCAAATCAATGTTATTGTTATTTTCCAGTCAATTTAGTGGTAACATTATTTTGTTATTGCAGGGAGACAGTCATATCTCAGGAGCTGCACACTTGGGGGGTGCTGCAGTTGCAGCCATAGCCTGGGCACGACTTCGGAAGGGGCGTTTCTGAATTTCGCAACGACTCTGCAGATTACACAACACTAGGAAACTAAGATAGTCCACCATGTTAACTATTAGCCAGTGCCTTCCAGCTGGTTGTTCTCCTGATTTAAATTAGCTTATCATCCATTGATACAGACTTGACAACCTTTCTGAACTTTTCTAATCCCCATCTCAATGAGAAATTCTGATGATTCAAACACGTTAAACAATCTTTGTTGAGGAAAAGTAGTATCATGTTACAGAAATTGAATATCTTTGTGTATGGTATCCGAATCACAACTCAACAAGTTATCTTTGTACTGCCCAAATCAAGGTTTCCCAAGAATAGCTAGCAATTTACAGAATGGAGAAGGACTTAAAAGCAATTGGGGTAATACCGTAATTTAGTCACTCCCAAGTTACTTTCTTTTTCTTCTTCCCAAATTTAAACCTGTGTGCATACTTTCACATTTCCATTGATCTCAGTTGCCGAGGGACTGAAGCTACCTTGTTATCTAAGAAAAAGGAAGGAACTTTTCCAAAAACCCACCAAAGGCCAAAAAACCATAATACCCGCCGAATAACGCTTTCATCAAAACTTCAAAAATGCAGAGGCTCCTTTCTTTGAAACTAGCCTCAAACCTCCCCAAAAATCTCCCAAACTCCTCCACTACCTCTTCACTCTTCCACTTCCAACCTCACAAAACGCTTTCTCTCACCAAACCACCCCAAACCCAACCTCAAGGCTACTTCTTTAGCTCCTTTCCTGCACACCCGATTCACCATCTTCCTCATTCATGGAGGTTTCAGCACACTCTCACACAAAAAATCCATGGGTTTCTCTCCAACCCATTACTCAAATGGCACTTTTTTTTTGGTTTCCCAAATACCCTTATGAGAGTCTCAAGCAAGAGTCTTTCATCAGAGTTCAAACCTGCTGGTTTTTTCAGAGCCCAATTTCGCAAACACATTTTAAAGTTCAACCCAAATCAGAGTCCCTCCTGGTAATGTAAAAGTTTTCTGTTCATTGTCGAAGTTATCAGTTTGCTTAAGAAAATGAAGGAAAAGCTAGTAAATTCAACGACGATTTCCTAGTTTTCTTCCGTAAACTCATTTTCCCTATGATTTCTTCTCCGCAGCCTTAACGTTTAATCTGTTTTTTTTTATTCTTCCACATTGTGGAATTCCTGGTTAGAATGTGATAAATTGTTTGTTTGAAATTTCCTTTTGGTTTGCATTTTCACGGTTGTTTGTTTTAACCAATGAGCAAAAGTAAGTGTGCCTGCAACAGGTCAGGGAAGGACGACACGTATCCAATTGTGACTGGCTGACCGTACAAATATTTCCATTTACGTGCTTCAAGCCATTGCTTGGTTTTATTCATCACAAAAGCTCCTGCATTCTTGACTGCAAATGCTCTTGCTTGGCATTTCAAAAGTTGATAACTGCAAAACATCTTCTGCCCACACAAATTACAAAAATAACATTTAAAAAATAGTGACTTTTGTTAACCGTTATTTAGGAACTCATCAAGAACAAATTTGCTTGTTTAAAGTATCAGTTGTCATATAAGTAACATGAGCAGGATGAATAGTTTAATATGCCTTCAGATCATCAATGTATGTAGGTTATTTTCTGTCAGTAACTTAATGTTTTCCTCTTCGCAGGAGATCATGGTTCCGAAGGGTATCAGAGGGTGAGGTGGTTTTGGGATTGATTATAGCTAATGTTGCCGTGTTTATGTTATGGAAGATTGCAGATGTTAGCTTCATGGCGAAGAATTTTACCGTGAGTCCCTCCCTCAGTCTGAAATTATAACAAAATGTTGTCAACTTGTCATATCACGTTATTTCTATAACATGATTTCATTTACTACAATTTCCTAATTTGTTTATTTTCTTCTGTAACCAGATTTCATTAGACAATTTTACAAGTGGACGTTTGCACACATTGATAACTTGTGCATTCAGTCATATCGATGCTGGGCATGTCACTTCGAACATGCTTGGACTATATGTTTTTGGGAAGCATGTAAGCTAATTTTCTCTGAACCTTTTTTTTTTCTTTCTAGTAATTTTCTTTTTGGGGGAGAGGGAGGGGGTGGAGACGCATGTATATCATAAACCGGTACTGTAAGGTATTAAATTTTGTTTTGGCATATCATTCAGTTGGACAATAATAATATATCATGAAATTGGTCTCTTCCATGATTTATATAAAGTGATATATTCAATCAGTTTTTACCATCTTTCTCTTTTTAAATGGTGCACTGACCAGATTGGAAGAATTTTTGGGCCCGAGTTTTTTTTAAAGTTGTATCTAGCTGGGGCTGTTGGTGGCTCGGTCTTCTTCTTGGTGCACAAAGCCTATCTGGCTGCGTCATCGAAGGTAAACTGATACTCAGCTTATGTGATACATCCATGTTAGGATAAAGTTGCATGGGTCATTGCTTTGCATATATTGCTCATGCTGTGCTCGAAATTATAATCGAAAGATCAATTGTTCTTGTTTACAAGAAAATGCAAGTAACTTTTATATTGAACGTACAATTTAGAGAATGGAAACTCCTGGATGGTTTTGTGAATATACAGTTTTGAGTATTTTTATCGTATGTACTATGCTGTTTGCAGGGCGGACAACCGATGAAGATGGACCCATCAAAGATACAGGGACTGGTATGCTTTCAGAAACTGTTTACATGTGTTGTGGTCCTTACTTTTCTCAACAAAACAAGGACAGATGAAAACATATTCCTTGGTTTTCATTTGCCCAACAAATCTGAACAACAGCTAGCCTAGAAAATGAACTCTAATTCATTTCACTGTTGTGTGACATGTAGGGCGCAAGTGGGGCGGTTACTGCGATCATGTTGCTTGATATATTCCTCTTCCCAAAATCTACCATCTACTTGGAGTTTATCGTACCAGTTCCTGCCATACTGATGGTAAGTTTGTTTCATCAGGTGATTGGTTGAGGCTATTATTAAGCAAATCCTTGAAATCTTACCTCTCTTTTTTCCATTTTAGGGGATCTATATAATTGGGAAAGATCTCACGAGGATAATACGGGTATATTATTTGGTTCTCTTCCTGTTTTCACATTTCTTTGGTGTTTAAACCAGTGTCATTGTGATTTTCTAGTAAACAAATTTAGTGGTAACATTATTTTGTTATTGCAGGGAGACCAACGTATCTCAGGATCTGCACACTTGGGGGGTGCTGCAGTTGCAGCCATAGCCTGGGCTCGAATTCGGAAGGGACGTTTCTGAACTTTGTACCAGCTCTGCAGATTTCATACCAACAACACTAGGAAACTAAGATAGTCCAGCATGCTAATTAACTATCAGTCAGCGCCTTCCAGTTGGTTGTTCTCCTGGTTTAAATTAGCTTGTCATCCATTGATTTGATAGAGACTTCATAACTGTCCTAATCCCCATCTTAATGTGAAATTCTGATGATTCAAAATCAAACACATTTAAGGATCGTTCTTTTGTTGAGGGAACTCTGTGGTATGTGAGTCGGAACTCAACAATCTTTGTAGTAGTGACTCAGTGATATGTTGTAGATGATTGTGAACAGTTGACTGTGGATTGGTGTGTATTCTGTAGCAAGCAAGGTCACACTAACATTCTCTGGAATAAAAGAGAATGTTGCCATCTTCTATGTATAGCCCTGACAAGTTTCTTTGTGGGCTTCCTTCTCAACCCCATCTTTGTAATTGTACACAAGAAACTTGTCAGAATTATAGTACAAGGCCCATGCGCTATTGGCCTCAAATCCCAAAACTTAAACATGTTTTTCTTTCCCTCTTCTTTTTTTCATTTTGGACAGTAAAAATTTAGATATTCAAAAATAGATAAATGTTATTTACTAGGAACGATCACTTCCGTTGGTAATCAAATCGTAAGTCTAATGTGACATGTAACGTGTCATTATATAACTAAATTCGTTTCCATCCAAGCGTAAATGGAATAAAAACAAAATTTTACCCTTGGTTCTTTTATTTTGCTAGTAGAACGACGTCGGACCTTATATAACAAACCCATCGATGATACCCAAGTTTCAATGTACGTGCATGAAATACAAATGGAGTGGAGACATATAACGTGTCATTAACTAGTTTTTTTCTCTAACAAAGGCAATTTTGTTGAAGTTTATCATGTATCATTTTTTAATGGGTATATGCATAAATTTATTCTTTTAGTTTTTAATTTAATTTTTATCAAATAATAATAAATCCCCAAATCACTTCCCTAGTGAACACATTTGTCTCTCATTTCCCAAAGAACAGCATTTATCTCTCTTGTTTTGGACCCTCTCTTTTATTATTTTAATGATTTATTTCCTTATTTGCATGAACTCAATAAAATCAATTCAATCCCAGAAAACCCCGATTAAAAAAAAAATTCATCTTTGTAATTCAACATCTTTCACTTTTTCGCATTTTCTACCAACTGGGTATCTCTCCCCCCGATGTTACCCAGAAAATGAGGTGGGAAAGCGTTCAGCTACAGCCTAAACAAGCTCACAAGCAACAGCAACAGCAACAACAAGAATTGTTGTGTGATATATCTGGGCCAGGGAAGAGGTGGGGGCACACCTGCAACGCCATTAAAGAAGGGAGGTTGCTATATGTCTTTGGGGGTTATGGCAAAGATAACTGTCAGACCAACCAAGTTCACGTTTTCGACACTGGTGGGTCTTCCACAAAAGCGAAAAAAATTCCCAAGATTTTTGCGTTATTTATCGATTTCCATTTTTTCTATGGGTTTTTGTAATCTTGGTTTTGCCTTATTGCTTGAAATTTTTCTGGGACAAAGTTTGAATTTTTCTGATATAACCTGTATATTAGTGCCCATGCGGGTGCTTGTGGGCTTGTAATTAGGGTTTTTGTTGGGTTTAATTTGTTAAATTTTTCATGGGTCTTCTAGTTTGGAATAAATTCTGTGATGGGTTTCTGCAACAATACTTGCGTAGACGCTTTATGAATATGCTAGTGAACTTTGATTTTAGGGGTTTCATTTGTTAACTCCTAAAGTTGTTTTCTTTTTTCTTTTTTGTTTGGTTATACAATTTCGAATAGTGCTTCCTATGAGCTCTTTACTTTCGTATTAAATTCTGTTCTAGGTGTTAAAAGACTAGCACTTTGCATTTGCCTGTGTGTTATTGCATTTTATATGGAGGTAGTTTTGAAATCGTTCATTCTCTCATTCTCAATTGCTGACTGCAGCTACGCATACATGGAGTCAGCCGGTGATAAAAGGAACCCCTCCAACTCCAAGGGACAGCCACAGCTGTACCTCCGTTGGTGATAATCTCTTCGTCTTTGGGGGTACAGATGGGATGAACCCTCTCAAGGATTTGCATATATTAGACACCTGTGAGTGAATTTCTCTCTTCACTCTTTGCTTTTTTACTAGCAAGCTTTTCTAGTGTGCTCACCCTTGGATTTATGTACACAGTATCAGCTGACTAATGCTATATTATTATGGGTCAAGTAATTCAATCAGATGATTATATGTCCAGGGTGACAATTAACTTATTTTCTTTATCCATCTTGGATTGGTATGCTTAAGAGTTGAAACCAGATATAATCTTTCCATATACTAACACCATTACCGTTTAGGGCTTTGTATCAAATTCTTTATTACTGTAATTACCACCAATGTGCTCACTTATGTTTTTAATGTTTGTGTAGCTTCACATACATGGATATCTCCAAGTTTAAGAGGCGATGGACCAGAGGCACGAGAGGGTCATAGTGCAGCCCTTGTTGGGAAACGGCTTTTTATATTTGGTGGCTGTGGAAAATCATCTAATAATAGCGATGAAGTGTACTACAATGATCTTTACATTTTGAATACAGGTGAGTTTCAATATAAGGTTAGTTTATTGATCACTTTGGTGAAGATTGGCTTGAATGACTTTTATGGCACTTTTGTGTGCAAACAATTATCATGCATTTATGTGGACTACTCACATGGATATTACGAGTTTACTTATTTGATCCCACTTGCCTAAGGAACTAAAAATGAGGGACAGTGAGCAACTAGTTTATAAGAGCTGTGGGATTAATCCAACGACACGTAGTTTTATTAACTACCCATTTTGTCTTCAGTCTGCAACCCATTTTAGTTTTGACCTGCAAAGAGGAATAAACGTGTTATGCAGATTCCTCATCCAGCCATCTCTCTCCGTCATCCCCTCTCATCCCCTCTCTCTCTCTCTCTCTCTCTCTCTCTCTCTGGTTTAAAGCAGATTTATTCAACTTATTACTTTCCATTTCTATTTAATTAAAAGTTGGCGTTTGGACAAAGGTTCAGATTGGGTAAATTACAGGTTGTGGATTGTGAATCCAAAGAAAAATTACATCAATCTGTGCTTTGGTCTTTCTTGGGTCGAATTGATTTGAAAATTTAATAGATATTTTAAGTTGAGAGAGAGAGAGAAAGTGGATGAGGGAGAGAGATGACTGGATGAGAAGCTGCAAAACATGTTTATTCATCTTAGTGGGTCAAAACTAAATGGCTTTGCTGAATGGTTTTTTATTGAAGCCAAAATGGTACCTATGAGGTTAAGTGCTTAGAAATATATGCCATTGGATCAATCCTACGGCTTTTATGAACTAGTTGTTCAACATCCCTTGCTTTTAATTCCTTTGGTGAGCGGATTGATATCTTATTTAGCATAAGTTGTTTGGATAGCATGTGGACCTTCTTAGGGTATGAAGTTGTTGGTGTGCTCTTCATTGAAGTCTATAAGTATTTTGTTTTTGTAGACTCTAGACTGGGAGGAAGGAGGGAGTGATTATTGTGAGCGTAGGACATCACATTCAGTTTTTATTTTGGCTTGGAGTCACTGATTGATACAGATAGCACATAATACGTGGTTTACTTCTTTTGTTCTCTTATCTTGTAGAGACGTTTGTATGGAAACATGCTACAACATCAGGCAACCCACCATCTCCACGTGATAGCCATACTTGTTCATCTTGGAAGAACAAAATAATTGTGATTGGTGGTGAAGATGGACATGATTACTATTTATCCGATGTCCATATCCTTGATGCAGGTATCATAATTTTCTTAAATGACCATTTACAGTTATATATAATAACAAATTGTTACATTTGTTATACCTCACTTGGCGATATTGTAAATGATAATATACTTTCTATATTTCTGGCATTATTGTACTTCATTAGATACTCTAATGTGGAGGGAGCTGAACACTTCAGGCCAGCTTTTGCCACCCCGAGCTGGTCATTCAACTGTTGCTTTTGGGAAGAATTTATTTGTTTTTGGGGGATTCACAGATGCCCAAAATCTATACAATGACCTCCACATGCTTGATGTTGGTACGTATCAAGTACTTATCTGAAACATATTCATGTCTTTCCGCCACAAATGTGTGTGTATATATATATAGATAGATAGAGAGAGAGAGAGAGAGGATTCTATTTTCTTTGAAACATATTCATCCACATGCACAAGAATGTGAAACATTTTAGGTGATGGTTGAAGTCAACCGTCTGTGTGACAATTGTATGTAGTTCTCTTATTTGAACTACCAGCTTGATATTTGATATTGGATTTCTAAAGTGAGAGTCACAACATGCATGCCATGGTTCCTTTGGGTTACTTGCTTTTATGAATGGTTTCAAGCTTCTGAGCAACCTTTTTATCTATCTACCTTGGTCTACATGTACTTTATGTTCTAGCTTCTTACTTTCTTCCCAGTGGCTTAATGTTTGTGGAATTGTGTCATTAATGATACCCACTCTATCCCAATTGGTATAGATACTGGTGTATGGACCAAGGTAATAACTGCAGGTGATGGGCCTTCTGCTAGATTTTCTGTTGCTGGGGACTGCTTGGATCCTGTGAAGGGAGGTGTACTTGTGTTTATTGGTGGTTGCAATAAAAGTCTTGAGGCACTGGATGACATGTATTACTTATACACAGGTTAAGTATTATCTTTTCATTTTTTTTCCCTGAATTATTTGGATTATTTTGTTACGGTAAATATTTATCTGTGTTTGAAATCTGATAAAGTCTTACTGACCTGATATAATTTCTAATTTTAGGACTTACCAGGGAGAGTGAACGGAGGCTAGAGAAATTATCTTTGAGGAAGCAATTAAAGCTAAAGTGCCAAGAGCAAAATCTCACTTCTTTTCATGACAAGCCTCTTGTTAACGTTGGAACTGGTGCAGATATGAGGCAACCCATGACAGTTCCATTTTATGCCCAACCATGTAAGTATTACTGATCTGGATACAGTTTCCCCTTTTTTCTCTGGGCATCAACGTGTACATATTGCAAAAAGAATCATAATCACATGTCTTAAAGGAATTTTGTTCCTGTAATACATCATGCTGATATAGTGGTTTCCTTTCTTCGGTGCATCAGGATCTAGAACCTTTCCTTTCTTTCTTCCAAGTGGTGAGAAAACGAAAGGGGTGGTAGGTTTGTAGATTTTCTATTCATGTTTATCTGCTTTTGAAGTCTCGTTAGAAGTTCAATGTTTTTCTTTTTCCTGCAAAATTTCTCATGACTATTTAGGGAAACTGCATGAGATCAAGCCCC